AAAGCTCTGACTCCTGCACAGATGTGCTTCACTCCTGGGATGGACAGCTCCATTGTGCCTGAGGAGCAGCATTTGTCCACCATAGTTCTCATTCCAGAACCTCAGGTGAGCTTTGAGGTGTCCTGGGTCCAGATCAGTGTGTGCCTTGAAGCTAAAGACAAAGTTCTTGACTTTGATGTGGTGTTCAGTGAGAAGCCAGAAGAGAGAGCAGAGGGCAGGCCTGATGTGATCATGTTAGTCTGGTTAGGAAGTGACAAGTCAGCAAATTTGCATATAAAATGTTTGGCTTAAGAAATATATAACAATCTCACGCTTTTAGTGAATGTAGTCTGGGGTGAGAGATAACCCATGGCAGGTGGTTATCACACATTTTATGGTGCGAGGACCCTTGAAACTTACTCACATGGGTAATTCTAAGAGTAATCCAATTCACTTCAAAGGATTATGTATGTGAGTAAAGGTTGCATGATTATGTCCTATATAGGTATGTACATACATACTGTGTGGAGATATATAAACCATACACTACTCAGTTATCCATCCATTATTTTATTTACAGCTCTGGTTTTGAGATTAAGGTTTATAATCTTTATAATACACACATAAAAAGTTTTGTGTTCATACTTTACAGGAGGGTCATTAAATATTCAGTATTACTACTCAAATTAGTTGCAATGCCCTATATAGTAACCGGTGACCCATTATTTTTGCCCTGTTTTAAATTCTGTAATAAGCAAACAGCAATGTTTTACATCTAATAGTAGAAAAATGTTTGTTTTATTTTGGGAGGGGGTGGGGGGAAAGAAGCCCCCCAGAGAAAACGGGTTGAGACACATTTATTATCATAGAGACTAGTGAAGGGAATTATTGGTCTATCAAGAAATGAGTATTTTGCTTGGTGCTGGATTTTAGCCAGATTCAGTCCTAGCTATTACTATATCAGTCTGGTAGTTGGTGATTCTAAAAGGCGGTTTCTGAGGATATTTGGGTAATGTAACGTCAGGCCTTCTGAACCTTATAGTCTTATAGAGCTTTGGGATGTGGAAAACTGTTCTAATTTTAAAGGTCAGCATTTTACTTTGTGAGTCATGCTTCTATTATCCAAACACTTTTTGTATGTGGCAAACAAACAAACAGAAACACAAACCACCGCCATCTGGGAAAAATCCTCCGAAGTAAAAATTTCCAATAGAATTTCATAAAATGCACATGTGAATTACATAGGAAGAAGTTATTTTTGGCACAAAAATATTTTGCTTTGTTTTTCAATCTAACAAAGAGTTTTTATTTATATGAAGAGATGTAAGATGGCCCAAACTGTTTGGATCACACGCAGAAAACATTCCATATTGACAGTTACTTGAACTGGTTATTTTGCTGGGGGTTGGTGGAAAGACTTTTATTTAAACCAATTTAAAAGAGTGAAGATTGGTAGCTGGAGAATACACTCTGCATTCCTCTCATACTGCAGCTGGACTGGCAATAGCCAAGGTTTATTTATTTATTTATTTTCTGCACAGAGGGGAGGAAAATATATCGGTCCATGAATCAATCTAGATAATGGGGAAGGCTGAATGTAATAAATAATACAGTAACAACCCTAAACTAATGAGCTGTTGCTAAGGTACATTTCACAGGCTCATCCTCGATATAAAAAGTCACTAATAATCCCTTGGTGTAATCAGATGATAAAGCTTTGCCATAAGGCAACACCTGTGCAATTAAAGCTGCAGATTCTTTTGCACGTTTCATTAATTTCAGGATTTTGTAAAGGCACAATGACTACACTAATAATCTAGTCTACTTGACTCCATGTCTACTGGAAACAGGGTGTCTAATTAGGTAAAGGTAATTAATTAGAGATAAATGGAGCTAATCAGACTCAGTTAACACTGATTCTCTGAATTGAGACATTTTGGGACACCTATTATTCCATTGGCTTTGATATTTCCCAACAAACAATGAATTGGAGGGTAGTCAGAAAACACTACATTTTTCTGCTGCATGCTATAGACCCAATCCTGCAAACGTTTACTGGCACAAATAGCCTCAGTGCAGCCACTGGGCCTGTACTCCCCTGAGTAGTCTTTATTCACGTGAAGGGCTTTGCAGGATCAGGCCCTTTTTTCAATTTTGGAGCTTTAGGGCTTGATGTACTGGAGACATTGATTTCAGTGGGTGTCAGATTGAGTCCTTACACTTTCCCTAAAAAGTCCTGTCTGGGCAAAGTGATTTTTGATGCTGGAAGATCTCCTAAGTTATATTTCATTTGATGCCTTTCTTTTAGGTGCTCCAGCCTATGCTGGTATTTCACACAGCTGTAATGTCATTCCTTGTAGATTTTGTTTTGAGACAAACCCACAAAAGTGAGGAAATTCCCAAGTAACTATTAAGGCCAATATTTTCAAACCTGGGTCCCTACAGTTAGTGTCCTACATAAAAGTGACCTGAGTTTCAGCGGCACTGTGCATTTGTAGCTCCCATTGAGATCCGTGGGTCCACTTTAATATTAAGGGTCAAATCCTGCTTGACTGACTCACATAAATAGCCCCATTAAATGCAGTGGCCTGCTCCCTTTGCTGTCAATATGACTACTCACATGCGTGATGTAAACAGGATTAGCCTGAAGACGCAAGGAGCCTAAGTGTTGGAGGCTGGCTGCCTTCCCTATGAGATTGCTTTGGCTTGTTGGCTTTGTCTCACAATATTTTATGGACATTTTTGTATGAACATTTCTGTATTATATTTGTTTTTGGACTATTATTATGTAGTAATATAATAATTAGGGCTAATAATTAACTCACGATTAACTAAAAAAAATTAATCGTGATGAATCGCAGTTTTAATCACACTGTTAAACAATAGACTACCGATGGAAAATTATTAAATTTTTTGGATGTTTTTCTACATTTTTATATATATTGTATTCTGTGTTGTAATTGAAATCAAAGTGTATATTATTTTTATTACAAATATTTGCACTGTAAAAATGATAAACAAAAGTTATTAGTTAGGGAAGTGGATTGGACTGAAGAGAGCTGATTAAGAAAAAGCAGAAAGCATATAGGGAGTGGAAGATGGGAGGGATCAGCAAGGAAACCTACCTTATTGAGGTCAGAACATGTAGGATAAAGTGAGACAGGCTGAAAGTCAAGTAGAGTTGGACCTTGCAAAGGGAATTAAAACCAATAGTAAAAGGTTCTACAACCATATAAATAAGAAGAAAACGAAGAAAGAAGAAGTGGGACTGCTAAACACTGAGGATGGAGTGGAGGTCAAGGATAATCTAGGCATGGCCCAATATCTAAACAAATACTTTGCCTCAGTCTTTAATAAGGCTAAAGAGG